TCCAGATGTTCTGCATTCACTCGTTTTCCTTCATGGAGTCGGCAGTTCTCCTGGTCATGTCCTTTGACCGTTTTGTGGCCATCTGCCACCCCTTGAGGTACTCAGTCATTATCACAGTCCAGCGAGTAATGAGGACAAGCCTGTGTGTCATCCTCCGGGGTCCTGTGATCCTTATCCCTATTGTTGTCCTCCTGAAAGCCTTTCCCTACTGCAGACGTCTGATCCTCTCCCATTCATTTTGCCACCACCAGGAAGTGATACACCTGGCATGTGTAGACACCACCTTCAACAACTTATATGGACTGAGCCTGGTGGTGTTCACTGTCATGTTGGACTTGGTGCTCATTGCACTGTCTTATGGATTCATCCTGCACACCGTGGCAGGCCTGGCCTCTCAAGAGGAGCAGCGACGAGCCTTCCAGACATGTACCTCCCATCTGTGTGCTGTGCTAGTGTTCTTCATGCCCATGATGGGGCTCTCCCTGGTACACCGCTTCGGGAAGCATGCCCCACCTGCTGTCCACATTCTTTTGGCCAACATCTACCTTTTTGTGCCTCCCATGCTTAACCCAATCATATATAGTATTAAGACTAAAGAGATCTGCCGTGCCCTCATCAAGCTCCTAGGTCTTAAAAAAAAGTTAATTCCGAGTCCTGGAGTTGAATCATTCAGTAGGCACTTATTCTCAAGTTCCTAATCCACATGCCAAAAGAAAACAATTCTATCACATCAAGTACCTATTCTAATACTATTCTAACAGTTACTCCAGACTTTCCCTCAACTCTGAATAAAGGATGGAGAAATTTATTTCCTGGATTATGAATTAGGCACAGTGAACTTTGTTGTTGTTCTCTTCCATTACAGAATTTCTTTCTACATTTGGGATCTGGCCATTTTGCTGACATCAAAGGCTAGGCAGAGGAAGACTTTATGGAGGATCCTTATACATTTGTAAACACTAATGAAGCTAACACCAAAATAAAACTAACTAAAAATCAAAATGGAATAATAAATCACAAAGGACCCCAAATAGATACTAACAGAGACCTGGCTCTTTTCAGCTCTTCTTGTTTGGGCTGGGTACACCCTTCAGGCTCTGATCCTGATGCTTCAGAATTCCTGCATAGTTCCCTAAATGCAGTTTATGCAAATATCCCCCAATTCTTTTTTTTATTGTGAAAATACCATACAGAGGGCAAGGTCATGAGGACATTTCTTATCAAGCATTGTTGCCTTCTCCTTTGTTTCCCCTTACATCCCTTCCCAACCAGAGAAGACCCAGGACAAAGATGACATGAGAAGACAACCAGGCAGGGACTCATCAAAGAAAGACAACTATAGACCCCTTTCTTTGAGGAACAATGATACAAAACATCTCAACAAAATTTTGGCCAATCGACTTCAACAATTCATCCAAAAAATCATACACCACGATCAAACAGGATTCATATCAGGGATGCAAAGCTGGTTCAATATATGCAAATCAATTAATATAATTCATCACACCCACAGGAGCAAGGATAAGAACCACATGGTTATCTCAATAGATGCAGAAGAAGCATTTGACAAGATCCAACACCCCTTTAGGATGAAGGTTCTAGAAAAATTAGGAATCCATGGAACATTCCTCAATACAATAAAGGCTGTATATGACAAACCTACAGCCAGCATTATACTTAATGGTATAAAACTAAAGCCATTTCCTCTGAACTCAGGAACAAGACAAGGATGCCCACTCTCTCCACTTCT